ATAATTGTTTTAACAAAATTACATCTTCGAAATATTGTAAAATTTTATTAAAAAAAATTGAAATCAAAATTTTTGAAAATTCAAGTTTGAAGAATTTTTAAAGCAAATTAGAAAAATAATTGAATTTTCAACAAATTATAATGGAAAACTTTCAAATGAAAATTTGAAAAAATATTAATTAATGGAAATTAGTTTTAAAAAATTTTATTAGAAAACTTTTTTGAAAAAGTAATTCATTTAATTTTTTTCTATCATAATTTTTTGAAATTTAATTACTTTCATTATTTTCATTATTTTCATTGTTTTCAATTACATGCTTTCGAAAATTCAAATCTCTGGAAAAAATAATTACATTAAAATTTAATATTTTAGAATCATTTAAAATTGTGAAAAAAACAATCAATTTTTGAAATTTTTAATTAAAATTATTCAAAAAATTAATTAGTTTCTTAAGATGTCTAAGAAAAATTTTCTAAGATTCTAATTCTTCTAAGAAATTTAATTATTTACGAAAATTGCATTTCAATTTTTTTAAAAAACTAATTTTGAGAATTTTTTATCATAATTTTCCAAAAAATCTAATTTATTCAAAAAATAAATTAAAATTTTCAAAAATTCTACTTTTATATTTGTTAATAAGAAATTTTTGTGAAATCGTGTATTTCATATTTTTAATTAACATTCTTCAATAATATTTTTTAAAGATTCTTCTAAAAAATTTAAATTATTTTCAAAAAATTGTATTAAATTTTCAGTTTTTTGAGAATTTTTCTATTTTATATAATTAAAAAGGCTATTCTTTAAAAAATTATTTTAAAAAACTAATTCTTAGAATGTTTTTTATTATAATTTATTAAAATTCAATTATTTTTAATATTTTCAATTATATATTTCCGAAAGTTAAGATCTCTACAAAAAGTTACATTAAAATTTGTTAGAATTAATATAAAAAAATTTTTAAAAATCAATCATTTCCAAAATTTGGGATTAAAATTCTTCAAAAAATTGATTAGATTTTTAAATAGTTCTACTAAAATTTTGAAGAAATGCTGTTTTTTTATTTATAATTGAAATTCTTCTAAAACTTTGTTATTTTTTAATATTTTACAAAATTTCTTTTAGGAAATTAAATTATTTTTCAAATTTATTACTAAATTTTAGTTATTTTAAAGTTTTTTTAATGTATATATTTGAAATATCTATTCTTTTAATAATTATTTGGAAAACTTTTAAAAAACTATAATTTTAAAAAAAATTTTTATTATAATTCCTTAAAGAATAATTATTTTTACTATTTTCTGTTACATGTTTTCAATTATTCAATAACATTTATTTATAACTAACAATTGAATTTTTGTATTTAAATAATTGAATTCTCGAAGAACTTTCGAAAAATTATTGAAAATAGTTGATTTAGAAATGAAATTAACAATTTTAAAAAGAAATTATTTTTATTATTTTTGGTTACATATTTTCATTTATTCAATAACTTGATAACTTTATTCAGAAATAAAAATTGAATTTTTGTATTTAAATAATTGAATTCTCGAAAATAATTAAATTTTCCGAGAATTACGGATGTAAATTTTAGAAATAATTAAATTTCAGATAGTTTGAAATTGAAATAGGTTTTCGATTTTTTATAATTTTTTGGAAAATTCGCCTTCTGTTCTTTTTCGCTTTCGAAGAGTCAAGTTACAATGTTTTCAAAATTTTCTATTTCCATTTTAATGAATTTTCTAAATTTGCAATTTTTAGAATCCTAAACGGATTCTGAAAGGGATGAAAATAATGTAATTTAATAATTACTTCACGGAAACGGAATATTCATTTCTGCATGGGAATTTTGAAGGACTGAATTTCCATTTAACCAAATTTTTACTTAACGATTTTGCAATTCTTACAATTTTTTCAAGTATTACAATTTTTGCAATTATTACAATTTTTGCAATTCTTCCAACTTTTAGAATTTTTATCTTTTTCAGAATCCAATTAAAATTCTAAAAATTGTAAAAGTTGGAAGAATTGCAAAAATGGTGATAATTGCAAAAATTGTAATACTTGGAAAAATTGTAAGAATTGCAAAATTGTTAAGTAAAAATTTGGTTAAAAGAAAATTCAGTTCTTGAAAATTCCCATGAAGAAATGAATATTCTGTTTCCATGAAGTAATTATTAAATGGCAAAGGCGCGAAAGATATGCGGTGGTGTGGTGTACACTCCAAAATGTTTAGGGAAATGAAAGAGTGTTTCTTCTCTCTCGCTCTCTCATTCTGGTTTGCTTTGTTATCTTCATACACGGTCCAGCGAGCCGACGAGAGAGTGGCATCTTGAAAATGGTCGTTGGTCTCGTCTCTCCGCTAAATCGGGTTCTCTCGTCCTCCTCACACAGTGCATTCAGGAAATCTTGGTACACTGACCCAACACAGTGATCGAAATAACTCGACATATGGGAGTTTCCAAAGACAGAGCACAATCCCATAAAACTAAAATCAAGGGAGATTCTCTCAACACCCCCATTTTCAACACTTTCACTCTATTTTACTCACGCAGTGTATGGGACACATGGAAATTTGTCACGGATCATTATTTTCTTTCTGAAACACACACATTAAGAAACAGTGAACACATGTCTCAATAAAGTCCTTAAAATTTTTCATTCACTTTATTTTTTGGAAATTCTTAGACAATTGAAACGAATATTTATTTTATTTATTTACTTTGCATTTCTTTCACTTATTTTTCTTTTGAACAAATATTTCTATTGAATCAAGTAATTATTTATTTACAAGCCAAATTATTGCACTATTTATTGTAAACAATTTCAAGTCATTTTAATTTAAGTTATTTTTAAAGAAATACTTATTATGACACATAACTGAAAAACTAATTAGAATTAAATTTTCAAATTATATTACATTTTTAAACTTTAAGGAATATTAAAAAACTTTTAATACATTTTGCTACTAATTTCAAATTTGACATCGGATTTTCAAAATTGAAAATAATTAAACTTTCTTGTACGAGGAAAATTGAATTTCGCAAAAATTGTTATTTGATACCTAAATTAAAAATAATCTTCAATACAAAAATTTTAATTATTCTGAAGAATAGAGAAGGTGAAAAAATTAGTATACAATATTCAACTTTCTGAACAAAGAATATAAATAATATTTTTTTTAAAGAATTTCCACTACTTTTAATTCGCTAATTTTCAAAAAAATTTCGAAAAAATCAATTATTTAACAAAATTTTATGCAATTTATTTCTTACAATAATTCAATTACTTCCACTAATAATAAAATTTTACATGAAAATTCAATTTTTAGAAAAAAAAATTTATTATTTTCATAAATAATAAAACTCATCGAAGAATTTCAATTATTTTTATTACCATTTTAAATTAATAATCGGAAAATTGAGTTATTTTCACAAATAAAGTTTTACACAAGAATTAAATTATTTAAACTAATAAAATTTTCAATAATATTTTTTATTATTTCGAAAAAATTAATTATTTAAAACAATGTTCATAAAATTCTTATGAAGAATTCAATTACTTTCAAAAATAATAAAATTCTTCTCTGTAATTCCATTACTTTTGAGAATTATAGTAAAATTCCTAGCAAATATTCAATTATTTTCATAAATAATAAAATTCATAGCAGGATTTCAATTATTTTTAATACAATTTTACAGGAATTGCTCAAAAAATGTAATTATTTTTAAAAATTTCATTTCATTTCCTCGAAAAAATCAATTATTTAAAAAAATCTTTTTTTAAAATTATTTGGAAGAATTGAATAATTATTTTAAAAAATTCAATAAAATTGTTCGAAAGAAATTAATTGGTTTAAATACAATTTAAATTAAATTTTTTTTAAATAATACAATTTTTTTAAAAATTATTATAAAATTTATTCTAAGAATTAAATTATTTACACAAATAATTTTTTTAAAAAATTCAATTATTTTGAGGTATTTTAATAAAATTCTTTTCAAAATTCAATTATTTTCATAAATAACAATATTCATCACAATAATTCAATTATTTTTAAAAGTAATAAATTTCTTCTTGAAAATACCATTATTTTAAAAAATTCTAATAAATCATTGAAAAGAATTTAATTATTTTCGTAAATAATAAAATTATTTTTAGGAATTCAATTATTTTCAAAAAAATTTAATAAAATTTTCCAGACATTTAATTATTGTCAAAATTTATAGTAGAATTCTTTGTAAAATTTAATTATCTTTCAAAACTTTTCGCAATTTAATGATTTTCATCAATTCAATTATTTATATTACAATATGCATAAAATTATTCGAAAGAAATGAATTATTTAAAAAATTTTTATAAAATTCTTCGCAAGAATTAAATTATTTATTTATAAATATATTTTAAATTCTTTGATGAATAATAAAATTTGTTGCAGGAATTCAATTTATTAGCAGGATAAGAAAAAAGTAAATATTTTTGATGAAAATTAGGAAAAAGTCAAGGAAATAAAAAATATTGAATGGAATTTTTGTCAATTTTGTGAAATGAATAAAACGAGTTTCTTTGGTTTTTTTTACATTAAAAAAAATGTCAATAACCGACAAAAATTAATTAAAAAAAAAAACAAATGAATGCAGAAAATTTGCCAACGGAAAAAAACTTACGATTATTATAAAGTGTTATAAAGTATTCATTTACGTAATTTTTATTTTGTCAATTTTCAATATTAAAATAAAATTTCTCCATTGATTAAAATACAGCTTGTTTTTTTTCTGTTGAATGATAAATATAGGAGAAATAAAACTGGTTTATTTTAAGTTTGTTAAGTATTTTTGCCTCGACGTTTCTTTTCTTTTTTTTCTTACAAAGCCATCAATATGTGACGCCATAAAATTGTATCATCTTAATTTCTTGCGTATAAAGGAAAATTCAAAATAATGAAATTATCTTTAGCTTGCACAATGCGTTGTATTGCAATTAACCCCGATTAATTTTTGCAGTTGACTCCTGGACGCCTACTGGATCAAATAAAATAAAGGATGACGAACGAATCAATTGATTGCATTCCACATTGACCTCTTGAAAAAACGCATCATTCGAGAGAGAAAGAGGAGGCTTCTTCCATATCTCTTCACCACGTTGGAAAAGAATGCCGAGACAAAAATAGATTCTTCACGCCAATAATGTCGTAGAGTCAAGGTATTTTCACGATAATTTTTCAACATTTGATTCAGTAAAATTAAAAAATTTACACGAAAATTCATTAAATTAATTAATTAACATTAATGTTCCTAAAGTTGCGAACGTTCGAATGAAATACATTTTTTTACTTCTTTTAATTTGTATTTTTATTTACATAATATTTTGAAAATTATAAAAATTAATTTTTAAATAAATATTTAATTTTAATTATTTTTCTGTATGATAATTTAAAAAAGTATTTTTGAAAAATAGTTTAATTCTTGCAAAGAATTTGATTACAATTATTAAAAACAATTGAATTCTGGCAAAGAATTTATTATTATTTAAAAATATAATTGAATTCTGGCAAAGAATTTATTATTATTTAAAAATATAATTGAATTTTTTCAGAAAGTTTTATAAAAATTGTAAAAAATAATTGAATTACTGCGAAGAATTTTATTATTTTTGAAAATAATTGAATTCCTGTTTAGAATTTGTTTACAATTTTTAAAAATAATTGAATTCTGGCAAATAATTTTATTAACATTTATAAAAATAAGTGAATTTTTTTAAGGAGATTTACTAAAATTATAAAAAATAATTTAATTCCTGTGAAGAATTTTATTATTTATGAAAATAATTAAATTCCTTTAAAAAATTTATTTATTTATGAAAATAATTGAATTCTGGCAAAGAATTTTACTAATTTTAATTAAAATTTTTAAAAATTGTAATCAAATTCGAAACAGGAATTCAATTATTTTCGTAAATAATAAATTTCTTCGTAAGAATTCAATGAGTTTTAATAATTGTAATCAAATTTTTTGCAAGAATTAAATTATTTTAAAAATGAATTTTATTAATGTTTATAAAAATAATTGAATTCCTGTGAAGAATTTTATTATTTATGAAAATAATTGAATTCCTGCTTAAAATTTGATTACAACTTTTAAAAATAATTAAATTCCTACGAAGAATTTATTTATTTATGAAAATAATTGAATTCTTGCCTAGAATTTTATAATTTTTTAAAATAATTTAATTGTTTCGATGAAAATTAAAATTTTTTTAAAGAATATAATTCAAATTGTATTGAAAATAGTTGAATTCGAATAAAGAATTATATCAAAACTTTTGAAAATAATTCAATTTTTTCAACATATTCTATAACAATTTTTAAAAATAGTGGAATTTTTTCGAGAAATTTTATTAAAATTGTAAAAAATAATTGAATTTCTGTGAAGAATTTTATTATTTATGAAAATAATTTAATTCTTGCAAAGAATGTAATTATATTAATTTTTTGAAAAAATATTTAAATAGAAAAATAATTTTGTTCATTTGATCGTTCAAAACTTTTTGTGAAAATATTAGTTAATTTACAAAAATAAAATTATTCTTTTAATTTTTCTACTTTTTTTTAAATTATAGAAAAATCTTTATTAGCTATTTTTTTATTAGTTCAGCTAAAAGCTAACAATTTTTTCTTAGAGTTTAACTATTAATAATTGGTTGAAATACCAGATGATCTAAAAATCGAGAAAGATTGTTGAAAAATTCTAATGATCTAAAATTTGGTGGTGTGAGAAATTTGCACAAGAGCGTTATAAGAATTATAAATTACAGTGTGACAGTGGGAATTGGCACTTCTACTTATGAGATTTATTGACAAGAAAACAATGCATGTTTGGTCGCACTTTTGCGAGTCACTAGGACTAGTGGGTGAACCGGAAGTAGTCGCTCGTGAGAAAAAAGAGGGTCTCATGACTGATTCCACAAGGTCGACGACGTCGCGTGCGGCATTGGTATGTCGGGTACGCGTGTACCCGGCACAAAAATCGTCTTCTTCAGCAACGGAGAACGAGAGCAAAAAAAAAATTAGGCAAAACAAAATGGAACTCGTCATGGTTTCACGCCTCCTTATTTTCCCTTTTCTTTTCTTTCTTTTTTTTGTGAAGATGAGAATATTGCATTCGTACCGTGCGTGCTGCCCTTTCACTAAATATACACGTATAACAAACATAACAACAGAAAAATCCTTGGAAAAAAAGTGAATTATCTGCCCTCTGGTTGATTACATTTTTTTACGAGGATAAAGTGCCTTTTAAAGTATTCCAAATACATCGGGTATTATTATTTGAGAACAGATTTATTTTAAGGCATTTTTTATTTGCCGATTTTTTCACAAATGCAGGCTTCGTACTCATCTACTAAAACCTACTATTTACTACTTTTTTTACGTTATGGTTCTATTTGGGTACTTTTTTCAGATTTCATCCACTAAAAGCTATTATTTCTGTTTTTTTTTTAGAATTTCCACTACTTTAAATTCGCTAATACTAGAAATCAAAAAACTATTCTCAAAAGTTATAATCAAATTCTTTAAAATGATTCAATTATTTTTAAAAAATATTTGAAATTCAATTATTTTCAATATCTAGTATTTTCATAAAATTTCGAAAAACAATTTAATTATTTAAAAAAAAATTGATAAAACTCATCCAAAATTCATTTTTATTTTCATAAATAATAAACTTTCCACAAAAATTCAATTAATTTTAAATAGCATTTTCAAAACAATTTCGAAAAAATCAATTATTTGACAAAGTATTTATACAATTCTTCTAAATAATTCAATTACTTTTATTAATATTAACATTTTTTATGGAAATTCAATTTAAAAAAAAAAAATTTTGATAAAATTCTAAGCAAGAATTCAATTATTTTCATAAATAATAAAAATCATCGGAGAATTTCAATTATTTTTGATACTATTTTCAATTAATTTATCGAAAAATTTAATTATTTCCACAAATAAAGTTTTTAACAAAAATTCAATTAGGTATTTAAAATAAAATTTTCATAATTTTATTTATTATATTTCGAAAAAATTAATTATTTAAAATTATGTTTATAAAATTCTCATGAAGAATTTAATTATGTTCAAAAATAACAAAATTTAGTTTGAAAGCTACTTTTTGCTACTTTTTTAAAATTAATTATCGAGTGCGAAGTCTGCAAATGATATTTATTTGGAATTCGTTTGCCATTTCAATTTATCTGCAAATTTTTACTTTTATATTGAAATGAAATTTAAACCTAAATTAATTATGGAACTAAATTTAAGTCTAAATTAATTCTGGAATTAAATTAAAGTCCAAATTAATTCTGGAATTAAATTTAAGTCTATTTATTAATTCTGGAATTAATTCTAAGTCTAAATTAACTCTGTAATTAATTTTAAGCCTAAATTAATTCTCGAATTAATTTAACCAAAATTCTGAATATTCGCTTAATAAAGAAATTCTTTTGTGTATAAGAAATTCGCCAAGTATGTAAAAATTTTTCTGAATTTCTAATTTTGAAAAAAAGGGAAAATATTGGAGGCGAAATGTGAATAATATAGAAGCAAAAGAGAGGATTGAGGGTTAAAAAGGGAAATAAGGGGGCAAAAAAGAATTGTGATCCTTCGCATTCGTGCTCGTCTTCCGGGTCATAATGCCAAGAGACAACGTCACTGCATATACTTGTTTCCTGGCACTTAACCAGATGCCAGAATTTGAACAGGTTCATCCGCCTCGACCATTCCTTGCAGTAATTACATATCTTGTGATTTACATATGTGCATAATTAGGAGATGTGTTTAATGTTCCTTCAAAAAGTCATTAATTTAAATTACCAGTGGATCGAAAATTTCTAAGGTCACTTTATGAAAATTCATGGGAAAAACCAATTTTACTCCTACTAGATTTAGACTTATTTCTCCATCTTTTTAGAGTTATACGCATTTTTTTCACAAACAATTTTACTTATTTTGGTAATTTATTAATTTCTTTATTATTTATAAACGGGACGAGTTTAATTAAATATGAATCTATATTTCGAGCAAATTAATTAAAATTTTTTTGATATTAATCGAATTATTATTAATAATTTCATCTAAGTTTTTGAAAATAATTGAATTCTTTCGATGAATTTTATTGTTCATGAAAATAATTGAATTGTTTCGAAGAATTTTATTCAAATTTTTTATAATATTTTATTGCTTTCAAAGAGTTTCATTAAATTTTTTGAAAATAATTGGATTCCTGCGAAGAATTTTATTAGTTATGAAAAATAATTGAAATCCTGCAAAAAATTTAATTACAATTATTAAAAATATTTGAATTCCTTAAAAATACTTAAAAATACTTAAATTTTATTATTTATGAAAATAATTTAATTTCTGCAAAGAATTTTATTACAATTATTAAAAATAATTGAATTCCTGCGAAGAATTTTATTATTTTTTGAAAATAATTTAATTCCTGCAAAGAATTTTATTACAATTATTAAAAATAAATGAATTCCTACGAAGAATTTGATTATTTATGAAAATAATTTAATTTCTGCAAAGAATTTTATTAAAATTTTTAAAAATAATTGAATTATGATTTGAAGAATTTCACCAAATTTTTCGGAAGTAATTTTTCCTTTTGTGAAATTTTATTAAAATTGCTTTGAAAATAATTTAATTTCTGCGAAGAATTTTACTACATTTACAAAAATAATTGAATTCCTGCGATGAATTTTATTATTTATGAAAAAAATTAAATTAGTGCAAAGAATTTTATTAACATATTCGAAAATAATTGTATTTCTGCTTAGAATTTGATTACAATTTTTAAAAATAATTTAATTTTCCTATGAAGAATTTTATTAACATTTTTGAAAATATTTTGAAATATTATGGAATAAATGGAGACTGTTTTATTCCTAAATAATTTATTATTAAATTCGAATCAAACGAGTGGATTTTTGGCAATTGTTACAAAATCGTCTGAGATCAAAATACACAGCTGAATCGACCATTCAATTCCACTGAGAGACTAAATTGACTCTTTGTAATCAGCGTCTCTCCCTATTTTCTCTCTCTATCTCTCGTTTTTCTTCCCTTCTCAAAGGGAGACAATGGGAAAACAAAAAAAGAAAAAAAAAGAGAATTTGTCCCTGTCGACCATGGGGTTAAGTTCCTG